ATTTGTATATATATACAATATATATGTAAATATGTATCCCTATAATTTCTTCATGGTTTTAAACATACATATATATTATAATATTTGTAAATATTATAAACTGTCACTGAACCACTATGGCTGAAGTTGGCTAGATCAACTGCCAAAGGCAAATGCCTTCAATTCCTAACTACCAACTCTCTCCTTTTTTCAGAAAGTAACTAGAACCCATCTAGCAAACAAGCTGAGAAGACTAGTTTACAAGAGAGTCTGGGAAATATGAATTTTGGGCTTCTAATGGCCCACAGTAATCAAAGACTATATAGGGGCAGGCATGGAGCTGACTACCAATAGACAATGACCAATGTGTATCTGTTGGTGAGATTCTTGCTGGTATAAGTTTGTATTAGTATTGTAATTATTTAGTGCATGAAATAATTTTTTGTTTTGTGTCTTTGTCCCTTAACAATATCTCAGTGAAACTCCTCCATGTCAATTCATGTAACACTACTTGGTTTTCCACAAAGCCTTGATGTTATAACATGATGTAGATGAATCATAATCCATCCAGGCATTTGCTTTGATGGATTTTCACTTTGACTCTTCTTTTTGGCCATCATAAACACTGTTGAAATAAATATCATGCATCAGCATTTTCTACATATTGGTGCTTTTTTTTTTTTCCCCCTACAAGGTGAGGTCCCAGGTTTGGGATTGATGAGATGGACTGTGTTTTGTTTTCAGTTGTCATAATGCTTTCCCATAAGGGCATACCACTTTGTTTTCACAATCAATATAGGAAAGGACTCCTTTCACTATATCCCTGCCAGCAATATCTATTATCTGAGATAGTTTCTTAATTAATTTTTTTTTTCCCCAGAAAGCAAGTCACAACAGAAAGCAACCCAAATACTATCCCAACTAGACTGTTACAGATCCTCTAACATCATTATAGTGCCTGGGGATTTTTGAATGATTCAGAGTTTTCTGATTTAAAATTATGAGAATCAGTGAAGGTGGAATAGCTTTTCAGTAGTATTTCAGCAAAAATAGGTCTAATATTCAATTATACTCCTGTTTTATTTTGATTATTATTTTTTTAATCTGGTTAAAAGTTCACAAGAGTCTGCTATTATCAGGCATTGTCTCTGGTTGACCAGTCACAGTAGGCTAATTTACACTGTAATTAGTCTCAGTTCCAAAATCTTAACAACTTTTAACATCAAATGTTCATTTCTTTCTGTGTGTCCATTACAAATTGGCTAGGGGTGGGGAGGGGATTTGCTCCAAGCCTCTTCACCCAGCATTCCAAGTTCCTGAGGTGTCCACCATCATAAGCATTGATGGTGGTTGTGGCAGTGGGAAGAAAAGGTGAAAAATTGGCCATTATAGACTCCTGCAGAGAAGTGACACCGCTATGTCCAATCACTTGGTAATGACCAGTATCAACTAACACATTGATTAATTTCTTATAACATTTATTACATTTTTCTTAACTTATCATGACTCAGCACATAGTACTTCAGTTGCCTTCCTGTTCCCTTTCTGGAGACTTTACCAATTTTGAATAATTTTGTAAGTGTATTAATATTGATTTTGAAAAACTGGATAGTTGGCTTGCTATCTAAATTGAAGAGTAAAATGGTCAAATAGCTATCCATTCCTATTTGTTATACCGTTTAGGTGGCTCATTGAAGGAATTGATTAATGGTATCAAAAATATTATGACATCTTAATCAGTAACATTAGGACAAATGGCATTAGTGTTTGTCATATTTTCAACGTGATTTAAATCTAGTTGCAGCCCTTGATGATTGACATTTGGATCCAGTTTAATTTTTTTTTTTTTAAGATTTTATTTATTTATTTGACAGAGACACAGCAAGAGAGGGAACACAAGCAGGGGGAGTGGGAGAGGGAGAAGCAGGCTTCCCGCTGAGCAGGGAACCCGATGCGGGGCTCAATCCCAGGACCCTGGGCTCATGACCTGAGCCAAAGGCAGATGCTTAACGACTGAGCCCCCCAGGCGGCCCTGGATCCAGTTTAATTTTATCAGAGTGCCCAGGTAGTACCTGTGAATATTTGCACTTCTCATATTGTTAAGCTAGTAGTTACAGTTTGTGATTATTATTTGAAACTAATATAATCCAAGGAAAACCTTTGGCTATTTAAAAGAAGTTAGAAGGAGCACCTGTGGCTCAGTCTGTTAAGTGTCTGCCTTCAGCTCAGGTCATGATCTCAGGGTCCTGGTTATCGAGCCCCATACTGGGGGCGGGGGGGGTGTGTCTCTGTTCAGCAGGAGTCTGCTTCTCCCTCTCCCTCTGTGCTTGTGCACTCTCTCTCTCTTTTGCTCACTCTCAAATAAATAAAATCTTTTAAAAACAAAAAAAGAAGATTATAAATGTACATTTTTATGAAGGCAGTCACTAACTTTTGTCCATCAAAAAAAGATCTTGTGGACATTCCTTGGTATTGCAGCTTTCAGCAAATGGAATTAAAATTCTGATTCCATATTGCTTGTTCTTTTACATTGAAGCAGATGTCAGTTTCATATGGATTCTGAATATCATCCAATCTGTTCTTCAAATATAAATGTAATTACTGGTCAATGGTTTTGGATAATTTATACATCTGCTGAAATCGTGGAGGTTTTATCAATTGTTTTGACGTAGAGTTTGTTCCTTTCAGAAAGCTGAGGATCTGGAGCTATCTTACTTTGGACTAAGTCACCTCTACTCCTAAGAATAGCCACATGTGCTTAAGTGGCATGGGTGTGAATGATCTGAACCGTTATTGCTTACAAGTCCTAATAGAAGTTTCAGGTACAGAAAAGAGGATTCCTTCCAAATAAGGAAGACTTTGTGTGCCTATTTCACATACTATTTGTGAAAGGCAAAAGGAGGTAGTATACAGAAGATGTAAAGCTTAAGCTTTAGATGGCTAGAATAAAGTTAATATATTTTTTCTATTATAAGGGATTGTGACAGTCATTAAGGCCAACTTCCGTCCAGTTTTCAGACACCGGAGGTAATAGTTCTCAAACTTTCAGCTAAGTATGACCCACATGGTTTCAATAATAAGCTTATTTCTTATTTCCTATCATCACTTGAAAACTTTCTAAATGAAGTGAAAGTAGTAAATATCATTTGTTATCACCTCTCCTCTTTCCACTATTAGTACTAGCGTTACTGCTGTTAGTATTCTGCTGCTCCTGGTCCATATTTTACCAACATAGTATGTAATGCTGGTCAGTAGTTTGGGATAATTTACACATTGGCTTAAGCTGTAGAAGTTTTATTTTGATTTAGAATTTGTAGCCTCCATAAAGCTTAGGATTTTGAACCGAATTACTGGTTTCTAGTAAAAGTCACATGGATTATATGTTCTGTATTCATCATGTCATGTTCACAGCAGGTGTGAGACTTACCCACATTTTATAAAGGGGAGGACTGAGATTTAAAAAGGTTAAGAAAATTATATAAGTCCCTTGGATTTCAAATTTAGGCTGCCTGATGATATAGCCCTCTCTTTTGAACACTGTGTTATATCTTTTTTCCCCCCACCCTCACCCCTCAAAAATTCTTCTTATTTTGGCATTCTCACCTGTAAGGTAAATGACATGCAGTGTTGAAATGATTAATTAGATCCACTCACTGTTATATACTTGCCAAATCATCAGAATGAAAGTAGAATATCAATGAAATCTTCTGGATATTAAAATTGCTTCTATCATTTTGCACACCAAGATTTACAATCTACGAAATTCCAGTGTTTGCTCCATTTGCTATTATGTAATTGTCCTGTAGCATGCTGGAACACAAGGGCTCTAGGCTGTCTTCTACCTTCCTAGTAGAATGTTCAATCTAGATAGAAATTTGGCTTCCATTAGATAATATTCTGTTTCCCCAACATGTGGATGAAACATGGTTCTCTGAAGGTTATATTATCACACAGACCAGCAGTTTGAAATGTTTGGCATTAAAAATATTTGAACGTGGATTGTCGATAATTTTATCCTGAATTCTATTTTGTGTGAACAGACCCTGTTTAATTTCTATTGTTGTTCCTGTTGCGGGGGCTGCTGTTGTTGATGATGATATTATTTTGGAAGACTTTGTGATGTGTTAAAATTAGAACTCTCTCCTGAACCCTGAAGCACATGGTCATTATTAATAACGTGCTATTTACGAAAGAATTGCCAGCGAAGAGTGGAGCATAGCAGGGTGTGTCCCATTTATCAATTCAAAGGAATTTTGCCACCCTTTCATCAGGGTATTTGTGAGTCAAGCTGGATGGAATTAGAAAGATTCTCTAGAGGGGCACCTGCGTGGCTCAGTTGGTTGGGCATCTGCCTTTGGCTCAGGTCATGATCCCCGAGTCCTGAGATCGAGCCCTGCTTTGGGCTCCCTGCTCAGCGGGGAGCCTCTTCTCCCTCCCCCTCTGCCTGCTGCTCCCCCTGCTTGTGCTCTCTCTCTCTCTCTCTCTCACTCACTCTCTCTCTCTCTTACTCTCTTTCTCTCTTTGTCAAATGAATAAATAAAACCTTTAAAAAAAAAGATTCTGTAGAGATTATTTTATTGATGACCAAATCCATTTTTGTAAAAGTTAAAGACCCCAAACTGAAGCTTTTAAGTAGTTGGCTATTACTAAAATGGCATCCATTGTAGTTTATCAGTCTCTTAAGTATGCAAAGTGTTATCTCAAACCCAAATCAATTTTGTGGTATAAAAGAGATTAAGTAGATGAAAAATTGTTGTTGAAAATATGGATTTACATGCTTCAATACCAGTACTGTGTAATTTCTAAGTGACAATTTGATATTGATGTGATAAGGAAGGAAACTGCCATTAATAATTGAAAGCAGTGCAAATGTCTGTATTAAATAAACACAAACTGAAAGCAGGCAAATAATACAACACTTAGCTCTTCAGCTATTATCCTATAGTATGAAAGTATTTTAAAAAGCTTCCTAATATGTTGCGTTTTTTGGTTTGTTTTTTATGTTTCTGGATTCAGATTTATATTTTTGAAAATAATATCTACTATCAACCTGATATAAAGAGCAGTTCATTGCGACTGACATCTTCTGGAAAAGAAGGAATTATCTTTAATGGGATTGCTGACTGGTTATATGAAGGTGAGTTGAATAGATTTAGTTTCAAAAGAACACAAACAACATATTTTTATACAAAATCTGAGAGAAATCTGTTCATTCTAGAACAATACTTACAGCTCCATTTCCTCTTATTTCCTCTCAAAATGGCCTTCATGCTTTCATGTCTTTGCATGTGCTATATTTCGGCTGGTTGTGATTCACATCTACCACACTTGAGGGGTGTGTGTGTGTATGTGCGTCTGTGTATACATACATACACATTTTGTTCAGGCTAGGTAGATTTAATTTTTGTGATGCTTAACTAATGAAAGTTAATAATCATCTTATGTCCCTCTGGAATTAAATGCTGAGTTTTTCTGACGATGGAAAAGAAGAAACAAAAACCTTTACTGCTCAAAAAGTGCATGAAAACCCCTCGATTTTAAGTCATTCCCATTAAGAACAGTCTGTCACAGTTGAAAAGCCATTGCATGTGGAGCAAAATAAAACCCATCCAAAGGGTTATTTGTAATAACTACTGACTCAAGTTTTCATGATGGCTGAGAATATAAAAAGGAATCAGGTAATGAAAACCTCTATCCAGTTTGATCATGCACCAGTTGTCAGCTGGGTTATAGGTACAGATTTCCTTGGGAAGACTCAAGGCTTGAGGTTAATACCTAAGTTTCAGACTCTGAAACTGATCTTGGCAAAATACATCAAGATTTAAAGTCAGTTAGTCGTGTTTGATTAGAATTTATAAAGCTAAGGATCATCTAGAAAATAAATTTTATTTCTTGAGCAATATTGGCAAATGCAATCTTTCTACCTCAGAGTCAATATTTTTAATTCTGTAAGAAAAGTTAATCACTTACCTAATTCATTTATTCATCTATTCTATCATTGAACAGATATTATTAAAGACTTACTATGTTACAAGTATTTGTAAGGGTGCTGAGATATGATAGGGAACAAAACAAAGTACCTTACATTAAGAGAGACATTTTGCTGGGTGGAGATATTTTATTAATGAAGAGACACTGTAGCCTTTGATATTTATATGCATATGTGTACATGTATATTTAAAATATATTTTTGTGTGTATGCCAGTATCGAATAACAAAATATTTTAGAGGCTACAGTTTATTCTGAGGAGTAGTAGGAACTACTTTGGAAGTATAAAAATAATTATGTTCTGAATTTTTAAAAATTCAAAAGCACAAAATGGTAAGTGGGCTTCTTTGGTTCAGAGTGTCAGAAGCTGACTCTGGCTTTCTTATTTTGAAAGGATAAATTATTGGAGGGGTCTGAGATGGTCCAATGAATTAAAGAGATAGGTGGAAAACAAAATTGAAACTTGGGTGGTTCCAGGAATCTAGGTAGCAAAAACTAAGCATCTCTGATGTAGAAGAGTTAGGTGAGAGATGCCCTTCATCTTCAAAATATTGTCAGTACTGTGTGAGACCCTGATAGATGAAGAAACCATGTCCGTGCAGTGTGACAAGCAATCAAATCACAGTAAACACAGGATTCTATGAAAGAACAAAAGAGACTTAGCTGATTCTAGGGATTTGCAAACATTTTCCTAAAAGAGAAAGCCTCTGAGTTGAGCCTGAAAGATTAAGAAGTATAAGAAGAAAGTAGGTAGGAAATAGCCCAGGTGTCCATCAACTGATGAATGGATAAAGGAGAAGTGGCATATATATACAATGGACTATTACTCAGCCATAAAAAAGAATGAATTCTTGGAGCTAGAGAGTATTATGCTAAGCGAAATAATTCAGTCAAGAAAGATAAATACCATATGATTTCACTCACGTAGAATTTAAGCAACAAAACAAATGAGCAAAAGAAAAAAAGAGAGAGAAAGAGAGAGGGAAACTAAGAAACAGATTCTTAACTATAGCGAACAATCTGAGGGTTACCTGAGGGGAGGTGGGTGGACGGATGTGTTAAATAGGTGATGGGGATTAAGGAGGGCACTTGTGATGAGCACTGGGTGTTATATAAAAATGTTGAATCACTATATTGTACACCTGAAACTAATATTACACTGTCTGTTAACTAACTGGAATTTAAATAAAAAACTGTAATTTAAAAAAAGAAGAAGAAACTAGGTAAGGAAATTTAAGCAAGAGTTAAAAGCTTACAAAAGCATAGCAAGGTTAAATAGCAGGGTGTGTGCCTTGGGAACTAAAATCTGCTTGGTGTTATTGGGGCATAAAATTTGAGAAAAAGGAGGGCAGCAAGAACCAAGGGACAGTGACCCTAAAAATAATCTGGGATTTCAATTATTTTTTCACTAGTAAATGGGGTAACTAATAGAGCTTTTCAAATAAGGGAGTGTCAATATTACATCTTCCATATAAATAGATCATTTTGACTATAGTATAAAGCTGGATTGAATAGCAGAAAGAACCAATGAGAAGCTGGGAAGTTTTTCTGTGTTCTGTTGAGAGATAATGAGTAATATTACTAGGGTTAAAGCAAGAAGAAGGAGGGAAGATTCTGAAGTTGATGAGGCAGTAAAACAGATAGATCTTAGTGGTTAAATGGATGGGGTAGATGAAAAGAAGTCAAGAATGATTCTTTGGCTTCTGGTTTGGATCTCTAGTAAATAGTGGTAACAGACACAGCAAGCATTTATAAGAGTAGTGGGCTTCAGGGAGGGAAAGAATAATTTCGTGGGAACACTGGTGCTTCACAGTATGCTGCACGCTACCTTGGGTAACAAAATGTGATCCTTAACATCGAAGAACTTTTAAGTTAACTCAATGTATAATATACTGACTGGACAACTAAACAACATGCCTTGGGCCTTTGTCCTTTATGTAAGGCTTTATATAATTTATGGCATTATGTTTTTAAGGAAATTGCCAGAAGAGAAATTAAAGACCATTATCTGACAAATATGGTTATTTTCTTAATAGAAATAAAGAATAAAATTAGAGCATAAAATTCTATATATTTGGGTGGAAATTGAACACTGTGTTGGGGCATAGATAGGACAAATAGGACAAAAACTCTGGAATAACACTGTAGGTCTGACACTTTCCAAAAGAAAAATGGAAAAATTACAGTTTTTGCCATTCAAATTAAACTCAATCCTTTGGGCTCTTATGTTGTAGGTATACTAGCCAATTCCAATTGTGCTATGTGATTGAATCCTCACAATGTTAGCATATTTATTCATTTACTGAAGAAACAAGGACTCAGGGAGGACAGGTGGCTTGGACATGGCCTCAAAGCTCATGAGTGCCAGAGCTGGTCCTTGAATGTATATCTTCAAAGCCAGTACTTCTTCCTGGTCTACTCTACCTGTTAGAATTCAGTGCCTTTCATCGTTCCCTAAGGAATGATATACATTATGGACCTAAGCCATTAGATTTCAACTGGTCTGTTTCCTCAACCTAAGATTCTGAACCCTATCTATCATAGACTTACCTCAATTCTTGCTTTATCTCCAAGAGAAGGGACTGTATCAGGGAATCAGTGTTAAGGTTTGACAGAGGGATTTAGGCCATTTGGATGTCACTGATTTTTCCCTCACCTGTCATCCCCAACCTATGTTTCAAGAGTCTCCCCTGTACCTTCATCTCCACTACCACTTTGCCAAGGTACCAACAGCTCCCAGATTCCAGATTTTCTCTTTCCCTTCAGTACACTCACCACAACACAGTGCCATCTACTAGGAATGCATGTGATCTTCAACAGTATGTGTGTGATACTCTAGTGTGGAGATATCCTTTTTTTGTTACTTTACAGAAATCAATTACAATCTAAATTAGTATGTGTGGGAAACTCAAGAAGTAACATGTAACCTTTCCACTTTCTTTAGTTGAAATTTGCCTTTTGTAAATATCATAGAAAAAAAGATTAGAGAAGGAGTCACACAAAAGATAGTAAAATGTTTTTCTGGCACATTTTAAAGGCATGGCTTAAACTTTTTAGGTCCAGGCCAATCTGTGAGTGTGGCTATTGATCCCAATCACAGGCACTTATGTCGAGTTTTTATTTAAAAGTGTTATTTTAAAGCCTCTTGGTCTCTATTCCTAGTATTATTCAATTCCTAAGGAAAGTAAAGGCAAATAAAATAAAATGTGTTTTAAAGAGTTGGTGAAGTTCAGAAGAAAAATAAAACATCATGCTCAAAATGAAACATCATTTTAAACACAGTTCACACAAATGCATCTCATGTTATTGATATAAATTGGTGCATTTAACATAGTAACTCAACTAAATAAAATATCAGATGAATTCTTTGCTAAAAAGAAGTTCACAGCTACCAAGTCTACAACTTTGACAATTTCCATAAAGTATTGAATCTATTAAATAGAAAAAAATGACTGTCACTTTAAGTTATCTGAGCATATAAAATATTGGAACTAATGTGCCCAAATGATTTATAAATGTGTTTTAAGGAATTCTATGATATTCAGTTCAGCAGTTATTAAGTATATATATCTTTCCAGCATTATTTGAGAGCAATATGAAGAGAAATAGGGTTTCTGTGTTTTGGGCATTTCCAACTTCGTGGAGTGAAAACCTGTAAACACCTATTATATAAAGAACCATTTGGAGCATAGTAAATAGAAATATAAATAGAACTGCATGTCCGCGTACCAACTAGAAATAAAAGTAGGATTAATTCTAATGGAATGGGGGAATATAGAGTGGCTTCATGAAAGAAATGGTATTTGCATTGAGCTTTAAGAATGAAAAGAATAAAGAAGTGAGAGAAAAAATTGACAGGATAAACAATATCCTTATCAACAGATGGAGATTGTTAGATTTTTTGGTGGTTTACTGAGAACAATGTAAGATATCTATTTTCACTTTTTTTTCTGCCTTCTCTTGGATACAGGAAATCACATTCATCCATTCATTGATTCAACAAATATTTATTGAGCACTTACTGAATCCCAGTAAAACTGGACAATGACAGATACAAGAAAAAATTAGAGATGAAGCCATGGAAGCCAGAGGAAGATAGAAAGCTGAGTCTCATTAGGTCAAACAAACTAAGGATTCCATAGTTACTG